TTAGCATGTTGTATTTGTTTGGAAAACGTGTTTAGTACAAGACAGTTGTTTTGTCGGTGAACCTTGTCAGTTGTAATGGAGCTGAATTTTGTAACGTTACCTTTGTTAAATGTTTTAACAAAGCTTTAGCTTCATATGTGTAGAGCAAAAGTCTGCTAGCCCCTAAGCTAATTTATACAATGTAAACTGTCATAGGCTTGTGCTAAAAACATAAGCATGATGTGTTTGGGGGGAAAATGTGTCCAGCAAAAGACAAGTGTTTGTCTCTGAATGCTGTGAGTTATAGTTAAGTGTTTGAAATTGTAGCTATTAAGGTGTATTTTGAATCAACCAAACTTTACAGCAAATCACAAAAACTCTGACGCATAAGTATAAATCCTGCTTTAGCCTGGCCTTGAATCTTCCTCAGATGTAATGTCTTCTTTGTGTTTTGTTGAGGTGAAGTGCAGCTTTTTCTGTGTGCTCCAAATGCTAAGCCACTTTCTCATAGAAACTCTGGACATTGTCATTAGTTGCCTTTTCACACATGTAGCCCACAACAGGAGATTGTCTTTGTCAGAAGCATTTTCACCCTCTCAGCAACGGCCCTTTTAGAGAGAAGTGTCATAATCTTGTCTCTTGCGTTCTACATTTTTGTTGCGGTCTTTGTGTTAATGACTCTTCATCTTCATAGAAAGTTCGTCAACACACCAACTTGCTCGCTGTGACTTCTCCAGACAGTTACCTGCTCTATTCACACATGGGTTCAATGACACATTATAAAGACGTTGTACTAAGGAGCTGGCTGGGTAAAGTCCGTTTAAAGTTCAATCTAACTGATTCGGACATGTGCCTTGTCACATACAGCTCCCCTGGGTAATGTCTAGATACGTATAGGGTTGCAGTGCATGTGTAAAGAAGGGGCTCTAGTTAACTTTAATTTTTTGCTTTGCTTTCGCAAACTGGTCCTAGGGTTTAAATTTGAAGAAACCTGATCTTTGTTGGCCAGAATGATTCAGTCTTATTCAAGGTCTTGGCTGGGCCATGTATAAAGTTATATACGATTAACGCATTTAGAAGAACAACAAGAATGTGTGTGTGTGTGTGTGTGTGTGTGTGTGTGTTACATCTATATAACTGTGTCTCATTATCAGACCACCTCAGACCCAGCTGGAATGGGTGCAGCTCATGGACTCCCAGCAGCGTTACCATGACGACGAGCTCCAGAAGTGGAGAGACATAATCAAATCATCACTGCTGCTGCTTGATAAGGTGAGAGAGCCGGTCAAACACAAGGAGTGTACAGCACCACAAAATACGGTCATAGGCTGTGTTGTCAATTTAGTTCTTTGAGAAAGTTCTGTTTCGCTTTGTTTCCAAACGACTTAGCTGAAGACCTTCGTCATGCTCAAAATAACTTTTTAAAGAGACTCGAGCAGTCAAGTGGTTCGATGAGCAAGATAGTGACGTAAACAGTGTTGCTGTGTGAGACGCCTGATCTTAAGGCAGTGAATGGTGTGGAAGACTGTAGGAGAGCACAGCCTGAGCCCTTTACTCACAACATGTCTACACAGGAAAGGTCTCAGTCGTCCATCTTAAGCTCATCTGATGGAACAGATATCAGATACCAGGACTTGATGGCATCCCTGGCCATGCACTCAAAGTGTGTGCAGATCAACTAAACAAAGAAATAGAGTGCATATTTTCACTGCTATTTAAGAGATGGTTTCAGCTCATGCATCACTTCCCGGATACCTCATGTGTGTCCATACTCGTGGACACTATCAGAAACATGTTGGAGCAGTGTAGATGTAGTCGGTCTCAGTCAGTGAGCATTGGATTGTTTTGTCTGTAGACCCACTCTGTGATCTAAACATTTGATTACTAGTGTTCTTGTACAAACTCTGACTTACGTCTTTCCTGCCTTTTCATCCAGCTAAGAGACTCCCTTCTCAACCTCCATAAAAGCATTGGCCTCAGGGACTACAACTCTGAGTCGGACAAAAGGAGAAACCAGTATCACTGATCGATAATATCAAGGCATGCGGACATGATGTGCAATATTAAGCCTACCTTTTCTGAGCCCGTGGAGAGAGTGTGGCCTTTTAAAGGCAGTGCTTGGAGTTCAGTCAGAGAGCTTTTTCAACAGTTCAAGTGACCTCATCAGCCTGCAGTAGATGAGAGCACACTAACACACCACAATGTGTCCTGCTGAGAGACTAAATCATTGGCAGGCCTCGTCTGTAGCTTTACTTCTGTCTTGTTCATCCACATTCTCCACCCGAAGCTGTATCACTTTTTTTTTTTCTTCTTCTTGTCACATACAGACAAAGATTAGACTGATCCAAAGCATGCAACTTTTTCTGGCTTCTGATATTTTGCCAAGTGAAAATCCATATTGGAATTAAATATGCATTCACTTTCAGAGGTGCAAAAATACATACAAATTTTTCTTCCCCTTCGAGGAACTCCGACAGCTGCTGTATCTCTTCGTTTTTTTACCTTTGAAACTGGGAAACACGATAAGAGACTGTAATAAATCCACAGCCTGCAGTATTTCAACCTATTTTTTTGCTCAGCAGAACTATGAAGAATCGAGATGTAACGGCATACATGTGCATGTGTGGTTGGGTGAGTGCATATGTGTGCATGTGTGTATGTGTGGGATTTATAAGATGTATATGGTAGTCAGGGCTATTTTTACCAGGCATATCAGGCAGATCAGGGCTGGTTTCCCTGAGAGCTTATGCCATACTTTTGTGATTCTATGTTTATGTTTTCTATGGCATAAATATTCTGAACTCTGGCTGGGGCATCGCTCTGCAGTTCTGAGTTAGTGACATGTTGAAGAGGAGGATTTGATTTGCAAGCAGAGAGAATATATGGAAAGAAAGCAGGAATGCGTAGCTGAAGGTGGCACAACTCCAAGTTTCCTAACGTGTTGCCAAGGTAATAAAGAAATGTTTTGTTCACAGCCAACCATCAGTGTCATTCCAGTGTTTTAATGATTTACTCTGACACGTCTCTGCTGCTCCATCACTGCCAAGGCTCACATGTCAACGTTATTATCCTGTTACCCTATTTAAGCCATTTCATTGCATTACATTGATTCATGTGTAATTGTCATGTAAAAGTAAAAATGTACTGTGGGCGCACAGTCCCGCCATGAAGTAGGATCAATGTGAGTTGCAGTGAAATTCAATATGTGCTATGTTTCTGCACTGCAGGTATGTTCTGCAGATATCAATCATGTTTTGGTGATTTTACAAACATTTCTCAGGAGCAGAGCTGATCTGCATCAGATATAAACTGGCTGGTTTGAGGTGGAGGTCAGCAGGCAGAGACACAGAGCCACAGTTCATTAGTATACAGCTTAGGGCTCATTTATACTCCCTTTATCCATGAAAATAGATATGTCCATTTCAAGCGTCGCAAACATCACTGTCCTCATACTTCCATGCAGCCTTTATGATGGCATAGATACAGCTGTTGGATGGCACTAGATGGCAGAGTTGAGCATTTCACACAACAAATCAGGGGACAGTGGAGGAGGTCATAATACTGTACCTTTAAAAAGGGGCAGTGTTAGATATGGTTGGTGGTCTGTGAGGCCATTAAATACATCCCAGCATGTGGATGAAGAGTTCTTTTCACCAGGGCTGCCCCCAACTAAGAATTTTCCTAGTTGACTAATAGTTGTCATTTAGGGCCGTTACTTGACTAGTCGCCTGAGTGTTTACGATATTAATTCAGGTCTGAGAAAGAATAGTATCAGTACCATTGTTAACACTTTTGATTTATTTTGACAAGGTGCAGCTCCTAAAAGAGTTTCCCTTTTTTTATATATATATTACTATATTAGCCATTCATTCTGTTCTGCCATTATTTAAATTTTGTCGTCATCTCCTACAGTCGTATCTTGCTTGAAGTATGCTACACTGCCTCCTTGTTTACAGGTGGTACTGCTCTGTTTCATCTGTACCCATAAGCTTTCAGAAAACGTGCACAAATATGGACAAAAAGAATGCAGGGTTTGGACAGAAGGCTGTGTCCATCTCCATACCTAATGTTGAGCATTAATGAGCCCTTGCAATAGCTAACAGGCAACCTCAAGAGCAAACAAGAAATCATTCACTTTAAAATTGTGCAAGTGGATGGTGGTAAAAGGGTCTGATAAAGCACCACCCACAGGTTTCCGACCACTTTAAAACTGTACAAATCAGTACTTTCTGATGAGGGTCACTGACGGACCCACACAGATTAATCACCAAATGTTTTATACTCTTTTAGCTTATTGTTTTGGTCATACTGTCGCAAACTCTGCCTGCATCAATTCAGATTTTAGTGGATGCAGCAGTTGGTGGAATCCAAACCAGGAGTCCATTCCTGAAATTTGCTTTGGTGTAGCCTGGGTCCAGACCTTAGAATCTGCCGACTCCAACAAGTTCACTGATTCATCTGGAATTATGACAAGAAACAAGTTTCTTTATTGAAATGAAAAGAAATCAATAAGCACTGTACAAAAGACCCAGCTCTTTCTGCTGTGTCTTGGCCACACCCAGCCTCACATGCAGCACTGACACACCCCTGCACTCAGTTACCTCTGATTGAGAACTGTTGGTCCTATAAATTGCAGTCAACACAGATACTCAGGTTGGTCACACAAAGCAAGTCCACAATGCCTTGTCTCTCCCACTCATTGAGTACATTTCCTGATTAGATTGCAAAAAGAACCAAACCATGCAAACAAAACCAACTTTGTTTCATCCCCATCCAATCACAGCTAAAATGCCAAAAAAAAGAGGATAATATAAAGTAAGTATCCCCCACTTTAGCATAGAAAAAAACTAAATCTGGCCTGTTATGGACTACTGGACTATGATAAATAAAACTGAATAGCATTAGCTTTACAAAACTCCAACTCATTTCATCAAGATATATGCTTCATCAGATAAGCTCTGTCCTCTCTAACTCCTTGACTTCAGTTTCATTTAGATGTCAAGGAATATTTGGCTCTATCTACTGAGGTTTACCTCTCGCCAGCGGTTTCTGCCTCAGAGGAATGTTTGTCTAATGAAACACCACACTGTTTACCCAGTGCTGATACTATTTTCCAGAAAATGTGTCCATGTCCCAGTAGGAGGACTTGGTCTCTGTCAGTGTGTGCAGAAATGTAATCAGTCACTGCCAGTGAAGCAGCTATAAGAATGTGTCTGTTGATACTTTCATGAGTATATTTATACGTCAAACCCTTGACGAAACTGTTTGGGATCAGTGTGTCAGTATATGTCTTGCAGAAACTCTGCGTTGCCATGTTTGCCTTTTCTTTTCTTTTCTTTTTTTTTCTTTTACTGACACTTGTCCAACCTTTGAAAATGTTTTCTAATTTAAGGATGAACGTCAAACTATTTAAATGTGTGAAAAATGTTGAAATTTTAAAGAAGGGATATGAAAACATTGTCTTTTTGGTCTTACAAGGTTTCTATGCTACACTGTTGCATGCAGAATATGTTTTACAGTTGATTTTTAATCCTCGAAAATGTCCTGTTTCATGAAAGACTAACCAGGAAAGCATTATTGAGTTTTGTGTATGACGCAAAATCCTTGCAGTGTGAGAAATGTAGGTGAGCTGAGTGTCTAATATACTGTAAATTGCTGCAAAAAGAAAAAAAGGCAGAGATTTATTTTTATGTGTATGGTGTAAGAGAGAAGAAGGCATATAAAGCTATTACAGAAATGTGAAAAGGTTTCACTGTTATTGACTGTGCGCAGAAATAATACATTATTAGGTGCAATGCAAAATGAATTTGGCTTTGTTATATTATTGAAGTGATCAGCAGAGAACAATTCTATTATTGACGTGTTTTATAGGATTCACAAATGTAAATAAGGCTTTGTAAAGTGGAAAAAAATGTGCATGTGTATCTGAATATTTGTGCTGTAAGAACAAATCCATACCACAAATGTTAAAGATAATCTTACTTGCACAGCAGCCATGACATTAATTGTAATAATTGGCCATAGAAAACTTTGATGTGATTGGTGGTCACCGAAAAAACAATCTCATAGGTCAACTGTGCAAGCAGCGTAGTACAACCCATACTTACATTTATTGTAAGGTGGTGCCCTCTATTGGCCGTGGTAATAATGACTCCAGCAGAGGGGGAAATAAAGTGGCACATAATGCGATTTAGTCTGCGTAATGTTCTACAAATATCAAAGAAGCCCCTACAGGATGGGTGGGAGAGGTGGTGGATGGGTCAGGACTTTCACCCAGGAGACTGGTGTTTGTGTCCCAAAGTCAACATTGACTTCTTTTAATAACAAAGTAGCCTAGTGTACATTTTTTTCAGCCTAGTATGCTAGTATGTGTAACACGCCATGCTAGTGACATACGTTACATATCGTTTGTGAAATATGCGACCAAAGTACTAATTTAATGCAAAACTTACATCTGTCTTCCTAAATCTAACCACACAGTTTTGCTGCCTACACTGAAAAAAATGATACTTTGGATCAACTTAAAAAAATTACTGTAATTTGTTACACCTAAATTTATTAGTTTTTCTCAAATTAAATTTATGATGTGGTTGAAACCATAAATTTTGATTTACTAGAAATACATTTTTGACCTTAAGACAAAGAAAGAAATTGCATTCATACAAAGTAAAAATATAATTCATAACAAAGACCGTAAACAATTTTTATCCTTTGTTACAACTTAATTTTTCATTTTGGAAAAAACTAATTTTTACTATTACATGTAAGTATAGATTTTACTTTGGTATAAACTAATTGAATTGCTGTAATTTTGTTACATGCATTTTTTTAAATTTTTCTCAAGTTAAATTTCTGATTCAGTACAAAGTATAATTTTAATTATACCTTAATCAATACATTATATTTAGTCCCAAGCCAAAGTGTTAGTTAATGTAGGTCAAGTAGGTCAAATAATGATGTTTTTTTTAAACTTTTTACAACTTAAATTTTCACCACAAACAAAAGCTAAATTCCCTATAATATAAAACTAGAATTCACTGAACCGATTCACTGCAGATAAAACTAAAAACAGGAAAATTCTCTTCAAAAGACCATTTATTTTTGATGATTCTGAAAATTGCATCACCTTTCAAAATAATAATAAAAAACCCATCAAAAACTTAATAAAACTATGTCAATGTTGTTACCAGTACAACAGGCCAGTGTGTGTTTTACACAACAACACTTAGGAAAAAAAAACTTCCATGTAAAATTAAATAAAATGTGGTCTTTTCATCATGTTTTTTTTTTTTTACACCTAATGAAACTGTAAACACATCAACTTACACATCTTAACATGTAAAACTGGTTTGTTCACCTCTTCTTTAAAACTTCAGAGATCCAAAGTAACAGCATTATAAAACAGTAACAGTAATAAAACAGTATAAAAATAGAAACAGTGTTAACTCTTTGCTATCATTTGACAAAATGATATAAATGTAGGAATATCATTATTTTTGAACCATTACAAATGCAGGGGACCCCAAAAAATAAAGCAAGGAAAAACACAGCTGCTGTGAGTGCAATTATGAATAAAGGCAGTTCAAGGAAAAAAACATAACCACTAGTGCTCTTACACTGCTTACTGAATTTAGCATTATTCACATTTCAATGTTGATATATGTGCCACAATATTTATACAACAGAAAGAATTCTGTTAACACAGAAAATCACAAATTAAATCGTGTTTTGAATTAAAACTAGTTTCTCTCTTATGTAACAATGACCCCTTACATTATCCTGGAATGTATTTGAATACAAGCAATAAAACAGAACAACATGTTGTATCCAAATGTCTTTCTTTGAGCAACCCCATATTTAGAGCTTGACACTCAGACTGCACACTCTGCGTGTCATTCTCTTTGGTTCAATCTCCATGAATATTTTCTGCAGCGCATCGAAAGTGTGTTTGAGCTCACCTGGATAGCTCAAGTTTAGAGCATAGATGAGGCCAAATAAGAGGGCACATCCATGTGCAACTGATGGCAGCTCATTAAGCACCTCCACACCTTCAATAATGATGCCTATGTCACATGGTGGCTTTAACGGATCCTCTTCCTCCCTGATGACAAACACCGCCATTGTGCACTGCTGAAGCTCTCTTTCGGCGTCATCCTTCTCAGCAACCTGACAAAAGACAAGACATTTATTGTACTCCCGAGTGTCAAGAGAATCAAAAAAAAGTAAGTACCATTTCTGTTACACTTATATTGTGTTTATTGTGTCGCATCTCGTTAAATTCCATACTTGTATTTCTTCACTGATAGATAAGAGATATTTGTTATTGTTTTATGATTACGACTGAGTTGCTTGTGTGTTTGGTAAGTATGAATAGTCAGTAACTCAGGTGTTAATGGCTCCATGGGAAGCAGACATGTGCGCTGTGACAGCCCTTGTTAAATGCTGTATTTGACATGGTGGTATTGGGCCATGTAACTCAGCTTTTTGATATAATATGTGTGGATGTTGGGTTGTTAACTTGGTTACTATTGCTGTATTTGCACATATGAGAATTGTGTATATTTTTCTGTTCTGTGATTACGTTGTCAGGATTGTAGTGTTGAATAATGTGCTTATTATTGAACCTAGAATAGGGGTGTCAAACTCTGTTTCATCTTGGGCCACATCAGCATTAGGTTTGCCCTCAAAGGGCTGGTTGTAAATGTAAGACAATACAATTGTATCTATATCACATAATTGCCTCTGTATTTGATTAATATTGATTTTATAACAATTCTAATAAGCTCTAATAGCAAAAATCTTGCAAGTAGACATTCAATTGTACAATTATGTATTAAAAAATGAAACAGATTAAGTAGTGTCTGTGAACAAACTTTAAAACTGTTTAAAATATTAGTATTTTTGCAGTAAGATGATCTGCTGCTCTGTTTCATATGAAGAGTTCTGTGGTTCTGATTAGTGTGGAGGAACAGTGATGCTCCGTGTTTTCTGCTCTCACAGTCACATGACGTCTCTGTGGGNTATGTTTGCCCTCACCTTTTTAGCTGTTAGTAGTGACTCTACGTGTTTGCCCTATTGATTTCCCTTTAACACAATGTTGCAACCATGCAGCCTGTTTAGTTGGTTTATTCAACAAGTCAATTAGATCTCTATTGCCAACACTTTTCTACATCCACATTTTTACAATTTCCTCTATAGCTTACTATATTTACAACACTATATAGATGACATGCACAAAGACTTCAAAGATTAAGTTTATACTATTTTTACAGATTACTTTTAGATATATAACAGTTTTTACACTTAGATCGATCAGTTAACTTTTTTCTTTTTCCTTTTTCCTTTTCCTTAGCTACCTGCCTGTTCAGACCTGTTTTCTGAGGTGGTTCCCCTGCTCTCTTGGCTAAGAGGTCTCCCCTAAACAGCGGTATTCACAGGAGCTCTTTAACTTCACTTTTTAGCTCTCTGCCCGTTCAGTCCCATTTTGTCTACGGTGACTCCCCCTCCTCCTTGGCTGGGAGGTCACTTTCCTCAAAACAGCGGTATCCACAGAAGCTTTTTAGGCCTTTTATTCACTTTTTCTTCTTTACAGCAAACCGCCCATGCAGTCCTGATGTCTCCCTTAGACACACCCTCCTTCTATAGGCTTAAAGGTGTACTAGGCAAGCCAACAGCGGTATCTGCGGATTTGCTTAGCATTCCGCCCGCGCAAACCTGCCGGCTGGCTTCAACACCTCCACCCCTACAGGCTAAAGGGAGTGTTGGCAAGTTTCGGCAGTGGTAACCACATATATGCTTTTGAGTATCTCTGACTCTTTTCTTCTCTTATTGTGCACTTTTGTCTCTTTAAATACTTTAAATACTCTTACTACCTTATTGCCTGTTCCTCATTAGTTATTATTCATCCAACACACACACATTCACTCTTTCAGCTCCACGATCACACCTTATTGCAGCAGAGTTACCCGTCTCCAGTGATGTTAGTTGCTTTTTCAGTGATATCTCTTTAATCAGTACATTATATAACTAGGTTCTTTAGGAGAGGAATTTGTAAAATACCTTTGACCTGGGCGGCTCACAGCACTGCACCCCAGACACACCCGGTTTTAAACAGAAAAAGGCTCTGCTTACCTTATTTTGTGGTGCCACCTGTGTGTCTGACGTACAGCCCAGTGCTCCCGATCTCTGGCTTCGACCTTCCTTGCCTCCTGGCTGGCTCGCCACTTGAGGTGACTGAAATCGGTGCCTGGAATTGGGCCTGACGGCTCCCGACCCCGTCCTCCTTGTTTCTTCTAAAATGTCTTTTGTTGTCAATTCAGTATCTTAGGTTCGGCTGGCAGGTACTTAGAAAAACACTGGAGATAGGCAGAATCTGGTGCAATCGAGTTTATTGTGTTCACAGGCAACAACACAGACAAACTCACGAGTCAGCCTCCGGAGGACGACTGAAAA